GTCCTACCTATCGCCCTCACGCCCCGCCCCGATCTCCATGTCATAACTGATCTGTCTCCATCCTCTCTGGTCTAGTGGGTGGCCAGGCGCGGCCGCACCCTGCGCTGAATACTCATTGCTCAGAGGTAGCCGGACGGGCGGGTGGTACTGGATGACACAATCACCGTGCTATCCACACGCACGCCAACGGTCACGGTGACACCTGGTGACTGCTCGGGGCACCGCCACTGTCACCGGGCGGTGATTCAGCCGTGCACGGTAACCGTTCCTGGGGACCTGTGCACGCTCACGATCACTGTTCGGCCAGCGTGACCCGCACGGTGCACGGCCGGTGCCGAGGTAATCGCTGAGCAGCTACGGTTCGAGAACGGCTGGACGTGCCCGGTACGGTCAGCCCAGCTCTGAAATGTCACGGAATGGCAAGGGAAGAAAATGTTCTGCTAGACGCGTGGCTGCCTTGGCTCACCGCACTCGTTCCTGTTCCGACTCGGCATAGCTGTGGCTGCGTTTTCTCGGTCGGTCCTGTCTGTCCGGACCCAACCCGTCCGGTCCAGTCCGTTTCTCCCGACCCAGTCCCGTGTGTGTCTGTCTCCTCGTTCCTTTCCATTCCTCTCTCGGTTTCGGTCCGTTTCGCCACGCCCGGTATGACCGGTCTCTCTCGGATCTCAGACCATCACTCAAACTAGGGCCGACTGGGCCGATCTTGGGTACACTCCATCGCTTCTCCTAGCCCACCCGCTGATTACGTCCCGTCCCTGGATCGTTAGCCCACCTGGGTAAGGTGTTCTGAACGGCGCGCGGGACCCTATAGCGACTGCCGCTCTCTGTGAGCTGCCGACCTCCTGTGCGCCGCTCTGACGAATCGACTGACTCCGTGTTCGTGCGTCGCGAGCGCTGGGCCGTGAATGGAGCGTGGTGAAGCGTGAACGGAGTCGGTCTTGCTCTCCAGAATCGGTAGAGCCCGGCGAGACCGTCAGCGTGCCTGCTGAGCCCTGGCGGAGCGGCGGTACTGGTTGAGATGGTGTAACGGCAGTGAGAGCGCTGTCGCGTGCCGTCTGGTGCGCTGTTTTAGGAGATGTAATGGATTTCTGGTTATGACGGGGCGTGGCTAATTGGCCTACAAAGGGCGACAGGTGTGCATTTTAATTGAGTTGAGATTTTATCGGTGGCTTTCAAGAACGAATTTCGCAAGATTGTGGGCTGTTTGAAGTGGTCGTTTGGGTGATAAGAGACGCAATAGATTCATAGGTGGGCGGGTAACTATCGGTGGCCGCCGAGAGTGTTCGCGTCTCGGTTCGTGCGCCGCTGGTAGGCGTTCATGGGACTCGTGTTCGGGTTCCCCTAGTCGTGTAGGCGTTACGATCCGACCAAGATCGGCCTCTGCGGGCCGGACCGGTCCGCCCGCGCGGACGGGCGGCGCCCGGTCCCCGTAGGGGCTGATGACGGTGACGTAAGACTGACTCTCGATGCCGTGATGTTCCCGTGTCAGTGAAGCTTTGTTCCTGTGCCGGTGAGGCTTTGTTCCGATGTCCGTCGGACGGATTTGGTCGGTGAAATCCCGCGGCCCGGTCGGCGGTCCGTCTGTCTTCGGCTCGGCGTCGTCAGTTTATCGGAGGGCGGCCCGATAAACAGGGCTGCTCTGCCGATAACTCTGCAACGAGCCGCCGCCGTCCGCGGCTGACTCAGCGGCCCCCAGGGTGCGCCGAACGCCCCCTCTCTACCGTGACCGGCGCTATTTTCGGTCGGCGCTCACGGAGTTTACGTTTCTAGTGGCCGATTCGGGCTGCTGCCCCGGTGGCGGCCTTTTGTTCTGAGCGCTGACGTCCGGCCGCCGGCTGAGCTCGCAGTTCACATCACAGCTGCACCGCCGCCGGCGCCGCTCTCCGGTTGGCAAAGAGCTGCTGCGTCTGACGTCATTCTCGACCGACCAGGAACGCTCACTCCCATTGAACACTGCGAGCCAGCTATTTCAATTGAAGGCTGCGCCGAGCGGCTATTCTGTTACGAAACAAGCTCGGCCCGGCTGTTAAATGGCTCAGCCGAGCGGGTTATTTTTGGGTACCATTGTGAGTACCTGGGAGCAGCTGTAGGCGTCGGCTCGGGGGAGATTACTGCCTACAAGGCTCCCTGTGATCCTATCAGGGGCTCATAGCCCGCCTGATCACAGGCTCATATCTATGTTCATATCTATGGTGTACAGAGGTCTGTGCTCGACCCAGTCACAGCCTCATATCCTGGTTGCTGGTTCATATCCCGCCCGGTCAGTCGCCGCTGCCGATCGAGCGGGTTGTCGATATCGACTCTGGGCGGCCGCCGGACGACGACGGTGAAGGCCACTAAACGCCGTCACAGAAGGACAGGATTGTTGGTCGATTGCTAGCCTTTCGTCCGTCATTACTTGGACGGTGCAGTGGGAACTGGGACGACAGATCACTGGGGAGCTGAGGGTTCCACACTGCGGCGGCCGAGGCTGGCTCGGTGCGACCCGGTGGGTGGTTGAGAGGTGGGTGTGCCGCTCTCCATACGGGGATGGCCGCCCACGGTTCTGCGGGGAGCGGCACGGGGGCTGAGCTGTGTTCTGAGAGGTGGGAGCGGGTCCGTGCTATAGGGCAAGTACCGGTCAGGAGAGCCTTTCAAGCCTTTTAAGCCTCTCACACAGCCAAGGTTACCTGATGGAGTTCGGATATAGACGGCCAATGTTACCTGATGAAAATCCGATACCGCCCGTCCGTCGGTCCGTCTCGGCGGCACGAGTCGCTCGTTACCGGTTCACATTACCAAATATCAGCCGGGATCATGGGCGGAGATGGGCGGAGATCTCCCATCGACTGACACGGACGGCTTAGCGCCTTTCCCGCTCCGTCCTTCAGTGTGTGACGGAGAAGCCGCGGCTTGGCTCGAGCTCTGCAGGCAGTGACTGGCCGCTGACGGCGTCACCGAGGCGCTGGCCGCCGGCCGGTGACCATTCAGATGGTAATGCGGACGGCTGCAGCGGCCACTCCTCGGTGACCGGTGCCGGCGTGTGGCCGCCGCCGCCGGCTCCGCCCCGCCGCCCTGCCGGTGATCGCCCCCGGCACTGACCCAGATGGAGCGCAGCTACGGCCGCCGCCGCTGCCAAACCCGGCTAATGGCGCATAAAACCGGCGATATGTGTCCGTTCTCACGGCCGGCGCCCGCTCCAGGGGCAGATCGTGCTGTTGGTATACCGCCCGAGGGATCGCTCAATCTAACGCCCCAGGGACCTCCCTGACCGACCGACCAATGTAGCGCCCGAGGGACCGCTCGAACGCCCGAAACACCTCCTGACCGACGGACAGCTTCCCGGAGACCGGGGGCTCCCGAGGGATCGGTCAGTCTGCTCGAGCTGGCTGATTATTTGATGTGGGCTGTTTCTATACCACGCTGCCTGTCCGTACTGAAGTACGTTGAGCTCTCGCCTCTCTCAAAGATGCTCTCAAGGCTGTTCTGCTGCCGCAGGGAGGCGAAGCTCCGAATGGCCCGCTCTTTTTATTCCTTCACAGTGATTCGGATGTTCCTGTCATGGTAATTGATGGCCGCGGATTCAGACACTTATGACCGGCTGTTAGTGGCTATCCTGAGGCGTTACGACAACTGGCACACAGTCTGTTCTCATCACGCCTCTCGGTTCGCACCGCTGACATCACTATGTCACGGAAGTGAAGCGCACAGTTTTCTAGTCAAAGTTGAGCCGTCGACACGATGTGGGACATATAAGACACAAGATAAGATGGTACCGGAGATTGAGAAGCCGATGATCACGGTCAGTTTGATGGGAGCGGTGAGATGCCGCGACGGCGTCACTGGGTCGCGGCACGTGCGCTAATGTGTGCCGAATGGTGAACTTTGCATCTGGACGCGCGCCGGGCCCGAAATAGCGGCCGCTGGCCAAATGCTGGCTCTCGGTATAAATAGCCGGTGGAGGCCGACTCTCGGGCGACGCTAAGGGCGACTCGGCGCCCAGATAGGCCTGATTATGAGCCGTGCGGCGTGGACGGCGTCGCGCTCGACGCGGGCAGCGCGGCAGCGGCCGTCGCGGAAGGTGAATGAGAGAGTGAGGTGCACGGTGCCGCCCGGCCGGCCGGTCTGTGGTGTGTGAGAGGGACGGCGGTTGTCCTATCTGCCCTTTGCCGGGTCGGTGTATTGCTCTGGGTCGGTGTGTCGGTGAAGAGTGACTAAGTGAGGCAGAGGTCGAGCGTGGGCAGAAGATGGTCGTCAGGTAGTGCGGCGGTGGCATGGAGCGCTCCCAGCCCTCCTACCTGGATACGTTCCGGGCTGTGGCCGGCGAGCTTCAGAGCCAGGCGTCCAGGTGGGCTAGACTCACCGATCACGGTTTGACACACTGACTGCAGTCTAGGCTGTTGGTACTTGGTTCGACACATAACACCGACACGGCTTGTCGGCACTGTCTCTGGGCAGCAAAGAGCTCGGTTGGGCTTTGGTGTAGCTTGGAGAGACTGGGGTGGGCCTGGGTGGGCCTCAAGGGTGCGGTCCCTTCAGCTGATCCATGCCTGTTTATTTGCATCGTGTGATGGGCTTGAAGTATTAGTGGAAATTGACGATCAGCAGTGATTGTTCGCTAACGAGCTTTACTTGGTAGATGTTCGCCTGCAAGGCCTACTGGGTAGATGTTCGCCTGTCTTACTAGGTAGATGACGGATTGGTGATGTTCCCGGGTCATTCTAGGTTACCATATCGGGAAAGATCACAGAAACTTTATTCAAGAGATAAGGAAAATCACTGTGTTTGTGGAACTCATGATTCCTGGTATGGTGGGATGCAATTTTCCTTGTATAATGTAATGTTAAATGTATTATTTACCGTCGTATCATTTTATTGAGCCGTCGCTCTTGCAACCAAGCAGAATACAAGGCCGTCCCGCACCTACTGTTGCAATGGCAACAGCACTGCTGTTTTTCCCGTTTGTGACGTTGATCCTACTGCCGTGTCTGACTCCGTCGTGTCTCCCCTTGTGTCGCCAGGTGGTACCGGCTCATCAAGGAGGCAGCCGACTCGTACCAGGGCCGAGACGGCAAGGGCCACAAACGCACCGAGTCGGCACACACCCTCCTCCAGGCTCAGGACTCGAGCGAGGCGGCGCCGACGCCCGCGCCCGCCGCCGCCGACGAGCCGGCCGACAGCGCAGCGGCGCCCGCCGGCGCAGAGGCGGCCCTCTCGCCCGGAGCCACTTCCCCGCCGGACGCGTCTCCGGCGGCGTCCCCGACGGCCCCACGCAGCCAGCTGACGGCCAAGGCGGCGGCAGGTGAGACAGCACGACATCCGGGGCCGCCGCGAGATGCATGGTGTGGAGCGCGGAGAAGACAGGAAACCGCGGCTGTTTGGGGCAGAGCTAGTGCACGAGTGGTCGGGGTTGCGGACTGAGATCGGGGTCGGATTGGGGACTGAGATTTGGGTCGGCGGCGCGGGCAGCGTGCCGCTGTTGTGTGCTCACGGCGGGGGTCGTGTTACCTCACACTGTGAATGCGGGTCGGGCGCGCGGCACTGCGGGAAATGTGGACGAGGTGCACCGCCGCGGCGCCGGCCGGCCATGAGTCACCCAGATGGAGCTGTTGTCGCTCCATCGCCCCGCTCTCTCGTCCACCCATTCATCCTGGAACTCCCGCCCGCCCGTGACCTCATCCCATACCGCTCCTTGCTGGCCAGTGACAGTTCACCTTCCGTCTGGAGTGTTGCTTTCATCTCTCTCGCCTCCCGACTGGCCCCGTCCCGTAAACAGCCGTATACAAGGTGCGCCCATTGCGCTCCCCCGGCTCAGATCACCATAGGCAGAGAGCGGGCAGTGACAGTGTAGAGGGTAGAGGATTGTGTGGGCCGCACTGGTTATGGTGTTGCACTGTATGCACGTGCTGAGGCACAGTGGGCCGCCGCAAACACTGCTGGCAAAATTATATTGGTCTATCAATTTATGTATATCTTGCTTTAATAGCAGATAAGCTTGAGCTTAAACTTTGACAACGAAACTGACATCAGCTGAAGACTATCGGCTGCCAATAAGCTCATGAGCTACCGTATCGTACCATCCGCTCATGAGACATAAGGTAGTTGAAGGCCCAGTCGGCAGTGTAGTGTGCGGCGGCCCGGCCTTTACCCCGTACCGGTGAGGGGCACATTTGGACCACGGGGGCTGACCGAGCCGGCATCCTCGCAGCCGCCGACGGCGCCGCCTCGCCCGGCGAGAAGCGGCGCATGCAGCGGGTCGAGATGCTCAAGATCGCCGAGTGCACGCAGCTGATCGACCCGGCCGAGGTGGTGGTCTCACAGGGCGTGGTGCTCTCGGCCGAGCCCGTCCTCACGCCCATAGGTGGGTCATCCGCACCGCTCCGCATACTGGGATAGTATTCACTGCATGGAGACACTGGGGGAGTGCACGCAGGGTTGATGGGTGCTGGGGTAGTTAGCTTAGCTCGGGATTGTATTGTAAAGATATCGTAGTGTGTTCTGATGATTGCTGTATTGGGTACTGTATGACCGTTGTGCTCCGTGGTCCGTCTTTTGTGACCTACTGTCGAGTACATGAATCAAATTGTGTCCTGTCCACTTCGTCCGTCCTCAATGTCCGGCCTTGTGCCTTTTTTTTGCCGTCTGTCCTCTGCGGCCTGCTGAGTCTGTAGAGTGACCTGGCCCGTGTCTGCGAGGTGGTCTAGCCGCCGGGTCAATCGCCATAGGAATGCCGGCCGTTAATTGACATGTGTAGTCCGCTGACGGCTCTGTAAATGGCCTCTCCCTCCGCGCCGTAACTAATGGCGCATTACGAAACGCCTGGACTCTGCCGCAGCCGGTTCGGGGTGCGGCGTCAGATGAATTGACCTCTCCTCAGCCTTCTGACCGGGTCGTTACTCATCCCCGCTGTCCGGCTAACAACCGGCCACTAAATTAGCAATCAATCGGTGATAACGGCAGACAATCGCCGGCCGACGTGGTGCGGTCCATCTCTGCATGGAGAGCTGTGGTCCGGCTCAGTCTGGGTCGCCGGAGAGCCTGGTATGGGCTGTGGACTCTGTGGCCCGGCTGGCTTTCACTGTGAGTTAACGTTGTCGGCAGCGGATGACGGTTGTGCCAACCTCTATCCTCAGGTGTTGTCATGTCCTCTCCATTATCTAACCCTCCCCTCTAGTGGACTAGTCACCAGTCAGTTGTCAATCTAGCCTCGAAATCAACGCCCACAACTCAACGACAACCCGCCGATATCCCGCCTGTACAGCTAGGCTTACACCATCGTCAGCGCCTGCCTCCCGATAGGCGACTATCGCGATCGTAGATTAAACGTTTCCCAACTCCGATCAACTCGATAAATTGGAGCACATTTTGTTCAGCCGCCTCTGAATTGATCGTTCTTGATCGGATCCCGATTAGAAATATTGATTTCGTCATTCCTGAAAGGTAATTCATCTGGCTTATGTATGAGTCTGGTGGAATTGATAGCCAGCGGGTGGTATTTATCTCACGGGGTGGAATTTTTGCCGGTTTGGGTTGGCGTTAGCTTTGTATAGCTGGAGATAACAGCAAATCAGCAAATACGCAATGATATATGGCGTACCCTTTGTCAATTTTATTACGCTCACTTCATCGTGTTGTGATATTAGCATCAATCATTGTGGTGGATGACGGGAGTTTCCATCACCTCAGCCGGCCATGACCGGTTCTTCTCCATCCCCTGGCGGCGCATGAAAGACGCCTTCGACGCCCCCTCGTGCGTCGTTCGATGACGGTCACTTTCGTGATGAGTCACACTCGAACGTGCGCTGAACTAAGCGGCGCGGCTAGCACGGCTCCTCAGCGGGTTGTCGCGCGTTTGCCCCAGTCTTCATTTCTCTGTCTATGTGAGGTTGCATTTGATGTCCAGCTGTCTAGCATCTGACCATTGTCCTGTCCAGTATGTGTCCTGTCATCCATGGTTTCGGTGCTTCTGTGGCTGTTTCTCAGCAGATTTATCAAGACCAGTATCGGCAATCGATTTATTCACCGTCTGTAAACAAAAGCCGAGAATTTTTGAGCTGTGGAGAACCATTTAGCACACTGGTCACACTCACTGCAGTTGTGCCCAGGTCGTGCTGTCCATCTGTTTCCCAGCCCCTGGCTGTCTGTCTACCCCGCACCAAGTCCCTCTCTAACTGTGTGTCCTCCGTCACGTCCCTCAGAGCGGCTGCGGCGGAAGGACGAACAGGTGCGTCAGACACTGGCAGAGAAACAGCAGCTGGTGGCCGACATCCTGCAGATCCCGCGCGACGACTTTGCGCACATCGCCGAGCTGGCCGCCGAGTCGGGGGGCGAGAAGGACGCCAGGGAGCTCATACTGAACTCTATACTGAGCGGTGAGTTGCGCACACGAGAAGGGGACGGGTTTTGTCGTGATACGCGTGGTACAGAGCGACGCATGTCGTGCGTCCAAAGCCAAGATCACGGCGGTTGTCTTTGGGTGGGATGTCTGAACAGGTCTGGTCTTGGCTTCTGAGTGTCCTTAAGTCGCCGTTCGGCGCTTCAGGTCTTTGTAGATGCACTCCGATTGCGTAAGCAGTGGTCATGAATGTCTCGTAAATATCGGTTTTATGCCGGAGTGCTCTCAGATCTGGCGAGGGAGACTGCCCACGTTTGGTTATCAGCAATGGTATGTGTCTGTAATGCGATCTGCTGCATTAGTCATGAAACGGGCTCCGCTCGCTAAGTGCAGGGATGCGTCGTGTAGGTGGATTTCTGTAAGTCGTGCGTGTGCGGCCGTCATGTTCAACTCCGGCTGTCATGTTGAACTCACTGACTGGACATCTGTCGTCTTTCAGTGGACCGCAACATGTCCATCATCAACGAGACGCTGAAGGTCACTGAGGGTGACATTGTCAGCAGCACGTGCACCCCCGGCCCGCCCGAGTCACCGGGCGCGTCAGCAGCGGCGTCGGCGCCGGCGGAGGGCGGCGGCCCGCGGCGACCGGTCAGTCCTCGGCCGCGGCGCACTGACCGCAGTCGAATGGCGGCCATCCACCAGCTGCTGCAGGTCAACAGCCAACTGAGCGCCACGCTCACCACGCTACTGGTGAGTGACGAGGGCTGAGAGTCGGGCAGATGGGTGAAACGCCCGGCTGTACATTTTCACGTAGCTCATTACATTTGTTTGCTCATTTTCCTCGCTCTTACAATGTTTCCGTTCTCGTTCTCCCTCCTCACTTCTGTTTCTCTCTTTTGCCTACTTATCAATGGCGTTTGGGATTTGAATGATTAACTTACCTTCTTCGCATACCAGACACTGTCTCAGCGAGCCACGGTGACCCTTTTCTGACCTCCCCCCCCCCCCCCCCCCCCTCCAGGGCGTAATGACCGAGCGTGACGAGGAGCGCGAGCGGATGCGGAAGGAGCTGCGCTACTCGCACGAGCGTATCCACCAGCTGCACCGTGAGTCGGCCGGCGGCGGCGCGCTGGCGGCCTCCCCGCCGGCGGCGGCGCCGGCGCCTCTCGCCGCGCCCGAGCACGACTCCAGCCGGCCGCACAGCTTCGTCTCCGTGGCGAGCTCGTCGGACGCGGGCGCGGCCGGCGGCGGCGGGCCGGCCGAGCACGCCGAGACAGACGAAGAGAGTGAGTAAACGGGTGGAAAGAGGGGACTAATTGGTGGAGTATGGCTCGCGGCTGTCGAGAGTGATAAACCAGGTGGCCAAACAAATGACCACTGGCATTAATTAGATAGATGCCTGGATGGTTTTCGTCTAGGTTTTATGTTTTTAATTGATGATCTCAATGGCATTGTGATAACTACCGTGACGAATGCAAAGCTCCTCGCTCATTGTCGGAATAGCTGAAGTGTTCAGCTGATATGAACCGTGGTTTCCGCCCCCTCTCCCTGTATGGACATCGCCCGTGCCCCTTGCCTCCTGTGTGAACTGAGCTCACCTCTAACACCGCGCCTGTCTGTGTGTTCCGGCAGGCTCGCGATCCCGGCCCGACACGGGCTCCCAGGAGAGCGGCGGCCCCGCGTCCGACACCCTGGAGGAGTCCACTCACGAGGTACCTGTCACCTAGTGTCGCCTGTGGCGCCAGTGAGACCGTGTGCGCGCGTGGCGGCCGCCGCGCCGACACCGCCGCCGTGCGGAGAGTGACCGGACACGTCTGTTGTTGCAGACCGAGACGTTCGACTCTGCCTCGTCCGGTAGCGCGTGTCTGACGTTCGAGTCGGCGGCCGACCAGACGTGAGGCGGCCCAACCGCCCCGCCGCCGCCGCCGCCGTCGACCTGTGCAGGTGCCAAGACCGCCACTTCTGCGAGTCGTGTGTGTACATAGGATAATTATATTCTATCGAAAGTGTGTGAGCAAGTGGTGCGCATTGTGTAACAACTTAAGTATACCAAATTTGTTATTGTTATTTTTGAAGAATTCCACAGGGGCGCGTCGTCGCTCCTGGCATCGGTCGCTTGAGCTTACGTTGGAGGCCGGCGGCTGCGAACGCCGGCTGGCGAGCGCGCGTAGGCCTTTCTAAGAGCGCGCGCTCGCTCGCTCGCGCAGTTGTAAGTTGGGTTTGGTGCGCGTGGCGGCGCCCCGGTCGGTCGGGCGGGCGGGCAGTGCCCGGCTCGAGCGCCCAGCGCCGGGCCGCTTCACGTCTCTCCTATTGACCAAGATTAGGACGGGCTGGTACCGTAATCTTTGTGACACGGCGCGGCGCCGCCGCCGCCTTCGCGATCGGAGAGACGGAGCGAGAGAGAGGGTGAGAGCGAGCCGCGCGAGAGCGAGGGAGAGAGGACCGATGTGTATGTACCCGAGCACAAACGCCCGCTGCGATTTAGTACTGTACCTATTTGTTCTGTCACTGAGACCATTTATACCACTGCGTCGCCAACCAGTTAAGATAAACGACTGATTCGAGATGCGAATGTTTGTGTGAGCATGAGGAGGATGAGAATGTGCGGAGATGAAGCTGGTTCATACGGTGCAGCAGCGAAGGACGGGATGCGGCCTCCAGGCCGACGCGTAGAGCGGCCGCTACGAACCCCAGGCATTTCCACATTCCTCGTATATTTGTGTGGCGTCTTGAGCCAACAAAAACATTGTACACAGCAGTTGGCGCAGGCGGCTGCGCGGTGGTGTCGCGACGATCGCCCCCCCCCCCCCTCGCCCCTCCCGTCCCGCCCCCGCCCCGGCCGGATTGAAGCAGCCGCTCTCCGGCGTGCGGGCACGCTCGCCGCCACCAGCGCGGCTTGGCACACTGTAACGCCCCACAGTAGGTCGACACCGGGCACCAGGGAGGCAGCTGACACTGCGCTGGGCCCGGCCGTCCAACAGGGACACCACGCCGGCAATTACAGTCGCCGGGAAGTTGTGGCCGCCCCCTGCCAGCGGCCCGTGCCACCCCGTCCCGTTCGTCACCCTGACCCGTCCCGGATCACAGCCTCAGTGCGGCGGCGGCCACCAGGGCCAGGCCGGCGGTCAGGGCGGCGGCGGCGGCAGACGGCACCGCGGCGCCGCCGGTCGGCTGCCCCTGACCGGGCACAGTGCGCTCGCCCCAGGCGTCCCATACACCGCCGGCGTTAATGTACCGCTGCACACACTGTTCAACGACAGACAGGGGACCGGCGCAGTCCAGGATCGCCTTGTGGAAGACGCGCTTGTCAAAAAGTTCTCCGAGCTCGGTTTCGGCCCTGGTACGCAGCTCCTTGAGGCGCAGCTCGCCGATCTTGTAGGCGCATGCCTGGCCGGGCCAGGTGATGTACCGGCGCACCTCGTGCTGCGGAAGAGGGGAGGGGTTAGATGAGGGATAGAGCAGGGAGCGGAGGTCAAACGGTCACAGCCCGGCGGGGAGTCGGACAACCACTCGAGTCACTTCAAGTCCTTAGCCGCAACAGTCTTGCAGACAGCGCACAACGCAAAATCCGCAAGTTTTGCGCGAATATCCCGCACAGCGCGAATAGTTTTGACATAGCCAGTTTGACATAGCGAATAACCCGTATGTCAAACTGGCTACGATATGCGCAGCGGCTAATCATAAGGCAGCCAACACCGAAATCAGGGCAGTCTCAGGTCACGTTGAGGCGTGTTAAAACGGCTGTAACACGTTGAACACAACTGATAAAAATCACTACAGTTCTCGATACCAGCTGGGCCGCACTTCTCGATCACGGTAACCAATTAAGTCGGTGCCAAACCACTGATAAAACAACATCAGGCCAGCCAAGCCGGTCGCTGGCTAACGGGGGAGCAGTTGGCCAGCCGTATCGACACTACATGACAGCAACAGGACGCAGAATCTGGCAGGTTCCCACAGCATACGAGAATGTAGGACAGTATGCGAAATACAGGGGCGAGGCGACGGGGCAGAGTAGGGACTAAAGGAGGGGGAGGGGGGTGGAAGGCGAGAGTGAAACGAATGATAGGCTGGGATCGGCGAGTCCAGAAATGTCTCGGTATGCCACAGACCTCAGGCTACCTCAGTCACAGTATCAGCCAAACCATGAGGACAAACACAGAAGACAGTCAACATCACATACAGACACACTCAGGTCCAGCTACCGTTCGCCAAAGGTGACACACAGGCGGAAAATGACACGACTTGGTACCTTATCCCAGAGCGGTAGACCCGATCAACCACAGTGAACCCACTCACCACCAGCGAGCCCCACCCCTCCCCCACGACCCCTTCACCTCCAGTGATCCCGCTAGAAGACCCTTTCTTACCTCCACCTGTGCGCGCGACGAGGCCGTGTGCTTTAGCATAAACTCGACCGCCTGCTCCTGCGTCCAGTTGAAGGCGTGGATGCCCGTGTCGACCACCAGACGACAGGCACGGAAGATCTCCTGGCTGTACCGGCCATACCTGGGGGAAGAGAGTTGTCAACGCGAAGTTCGGCCAATCGGGAGAGGACAAGTTGAATATTATATATGTACCTACAGCTTACACACAGCACAGCTTACATACAGCTTACACAGATTATGTACTTACACTGAAAACGCACAAAGACGAACATGTGTATTGTGTAAATATGTGATCGTGTTAGTTCGCCTTAAATCTGCCCCACACATCATCCAGCTCGATGGTAAGAATATTCGTTGTCGAAGCATAAGACATAAACCTGGGGATGAGCCCAGTAAGGTCAGCTAATCACTGAAGCTATCCAATCAGATTTCTGAGGCGGTGAGATGCCCGTACAACCAAGGGCAGGACGAAATATATGACACACAACCGAGAGACTCGAGGAAAGTGTAAGACTCTGTCAAACTGAGAAGACAGCACGGCAGACACAGCCAGACAGACACGAATCACAAGGCACACAGACACACAGGCAGGCAGACAGACAGACGGAGACAACCCTGACGCCTGACTGGAGCCGGCGGCACTGACCTGTCGATGGGGTCCTCGTACAGACCCATCTCGTGGCCGAGGAACTCCGAGTACAGGCCCCAGCCTTCCACGATGGCCGAGCTCAACGGGAAGCCCGAGGGAGCCTCGGAGTAGGACGGCCCGTCGCTGCCGGCGCGACGGAAGTCGGGAAGACCTGTGACAAACAGGCACGAGTGTAACAAGTGGTTACACGAGACACGACAAGACACGAGTGTGACAAAAGTGTGTACACTTCTTTGGTCAAAGCTTAGATAATGGGGGTAGCGATGAACGGCCAAGTGTAGGTTGTCTAGACAAAGTGAATGGCACTGTGTGTGCAAGACTTTTTACAACGTAACTTTTCCAGCATATAATTTCTCGTGACGTTTATCCTGACGTTCTAGGCCTGAACACATTTTGAAATTGCACAGTAGGACAATTAAATAGGCGTTTATCGGCTTAATGACATTTTACGAGGTGGGGAGGAGCTCCCCATCTCATAACACGAGACAGAAAGAACCTGCGATACCTTCTTTCTCCACCAGGTAGGAGAAGTAGTAGTGGTGTCCCGGGTTAGCCTCGTGCGCCGACAGTGCTGCCATCTCGTATTTGGCTCTGGAACGTACCGCAGCGGGGCGGGGCGGTCAGCTTATGGAGCTGCTACGCCAGGATGGCGGTATCGAGCGGTGTGTGACGGTGAACGGAGACCGGGCATTTATCGATCGATGGTGGTTAACTGGTGACAGCAGATCTGAGTTCATTGGGATAGATAAGTGAGACGAGAGCTCTAGAGAAGCACATCTCAACGAGGTAAAACATCAAGGATGAGCAAAGAAGATCTTATTAGATCATTTATCGACATTAATAATGCTAGGACGTCGTCGAGAAAGGATAGACTTTTTACGTCGACTATTAGTAATGGAGACATCATTATGATATATCTGGAGACTCACTGTTTGTCGTATTGGTGCTGGTTGATTTTGAACTTGCCCGGTCTGGAGCCGTCAAAGGCCGGTATGTTGTACGAGGCCGAGAGACCGTCCTTCTGATTTTCCGGCAGCACGTCCACACTGGAGATAAAGGCACAACGTCAGCATCAGTAAGACCCCCAGCCGGTGCAAGAAGCATATCGACGAGGTCTGTAATGCACCTCAGAGAAGTTAAAAGTGCAGCGTTGGACCTGTACACAAAACAGAATTTAAGTCGAACGGGTAAGACCAAATCACGATATAAAGAACAGGGTGTGCTTTTAATCTATCCGATAAATACTATCCATATAAACAGGTAAATACCTCAGTTTAAGATATGATGCCCGGCCCTAACTCCCTCCCGATAACTCTCTCAGTGACACCAGCCTATCGACGCTGAGCGAGTGAATTCAGCGCACCACTCACATTACTTCCAGTTTGGGCATCTCGAGGACGACCGTGAGCATCTTGGGCCCGATCCGGTCCCTTATGATGGTGGTGAAGCCGTCAATCAGCTCCTGGGGGCTGTCGTAGTAGTTGGCCGGGTCGGTGCGCAGCTTGTCGGAGAACTGCTGCAGCGTCATGTTCAGACCCAGTTCCTCGACCACCTGGTGAAGGAAACAGACGTCAGACACTACGACTAGGACGGTGTCATGTTCAGACCCAGCTCCTCGACCACCTGAAGAAGGAAGTTGGCTTCAGACACCAGCACAGCGGCGAGCTAAGTTATAAATTTAGGCCTTCGAAAGCAAAAAAAAAAAACAATCAAGAATTAACAAACTTTTTGTTATTCAACCGCAACGGATGTTAATAGACTTTTTTGCATAAACCAATAAAAAAAAATATGACTGACCAAGAGATTTACCTAAATGAAGTAGCAATAGCATGCAAAAAAAAAAATGCCAGCTGCTTTATAGCAAACAGTATTTGCAAACATAGATCCCATTTAGGCCTGTTTTCTATAAAGAGATGTCCATGCATGCAGTTTGCATTGGCCGCCTTATTTCATACCCACCTTGCGCATGTCTGCCTCGATGCGTTCCACCTCATCCAGACCGATCTGGTGGATCTGCTCCGGAGTCAGGTCGGTGGACGTGTGGAAGCGCAGACACTCGGCGTAGTAGTTATCGCCGTTGGGCAGAGAGGTGGCCGCGATCTTCGGACGTGTGTGCGGCAGGTACTCCGTCTCGATGAAGTCGGCTGTAACGGCGGGCACTGGCGTCAGTACTCAGGTATGTACAAACGAACGGGGTAGAAGGTGCTCGGTCTCGATAAAGTCGGCTGGAACGGCGGGCACTGGCGTCAGTACTCGGGTACAAAACGGACAGGGTAGTAGGTACTCTGTCTAGATAAAGTCGGCTGGAACGGGAACAACGGTCAGTAATTCGGCATTACTGAAAAAGAATTACTATTGCTTGAAATCCTGAGGGTAATGCACGAGTATATGCACCATGACCAGCAATGGATACAATAAGCCAATACATAAAGTTTCACCAAAACCGCAATCCTATACTTGTTGTTAATGATATTGAAAATATTTACCATCTTCACCCACTTGCAATGTCAGGAAACAAGGGTGTCCTATAAATTATAATAACCGTTATAATACAAAGTTTTGGTGTGCGGTAGAAGAAAACCAGTAGGTATCAGCTGGGTCCACACCGAATACCGAGCGCTAGGTAAGACCCCACCGGGCAAATACGAAGCCGTCGGCTCACCGAGGTCCTTGTAGGACTGGATGACGTCCTCGCGGATCACCCTGCGCGCCTCCTCCCTGAGCTCCTCCTGGACCTCGGCGCTGATGGACGGCGGCATCTCCAGGAACGGCTCGTAGAAGGGCGACTTCTCCACCGGCATGTCCAGCGCCCGGAACTGCTCCGGCACAGAGTACTGGAACGGCACAGGAAGGCGGTGTCAACTCTCACTCACGATGCATGGACTCAATCCACTGGGGTGGTTATCGTGTCGGTAAATATGATACGGTGATTATTCTGTCAGGCAGAGTGAAGCTCCCACGCGGCAGATGTATTCCACAGGCGATCAGCCACAGTTATTGAGGCCTAATTGTAACGGGTCGGTCGGTCCTAATGATGATGGGGAGTGGGGGGGAGGGGTAGAGTTCAGTGGAAGGGGAGGGAGCGTGAGGGAGAGAGCGCTGCGGCAGACAGGTTTAGGACAGGGATACTGGGGCTGTGCGAATGCCGGTCTTTCCGTCAGTAAAGAGCGACAAAACGGGACAGAAGCAGACGCTTGAACACCTGAACATCGTAAAATTATGGAACATTGATAAAGAACTGACAGTGGCTCTGTGATTCTGGAATTATTAAGATCGCAATTACGCATTCACAACCAGCAAACACCGTTAAAAAGTAGTCGGCCTCAATAAAACGTCTTCCTCCATACCAAGCTTCCGGTATGCCCCGGCTCGAGTCGCCACGCCTGTCGCAGACCGTCCACCCTCACCATGGAGATGTTGTGCAGCGTCCTGGTCTCGTTGATGCCCTTCTCCATCAGTGTCTGGATCTCGCCAGCCTGCTGGGGGAACTTCTGCAGCCTGTGGATGACAGATTGCGGGTACCGGGTCAAGGTGGATTGTCCACTGGAATTAGCACTTAGCAGCACCTACTTAATTACAGAGAGCGAACAATCATATCAAATTTACACGTCGAGGTGAATGTCCAACACGTAACACGCCTCATTAGATCACCGTTTCTTATTCAAAAGTCTCCTTTGGCTTTCAATATGGCAAAGTTGTTGTCAGAAATCTTGTTCAGTGGATTATAAGAAGCAAAGACCCGCCGCACCCACAATGTCTGGCAGTCATTTACCGGGCTATTAGGGTGCGATCCGTAGCATCCATCATCCGTCTCTCTCACCCGGTGATCGGGAAGCGGTAAATGGCGTCTCACCTGGTGATCAGGTTCCGGTAGTCCTGCTCCGTGTTGAACTTCATGTCGCCGATCAGCAGAGCCAGGCTGGTACCGACGCCATCCAGGTAGGACACCGGAAACAGGAACCTGCCGCACGGAGATACCGTGAATGGAGACTCACTAGAGAAACGGTTGAGAATCGTTGCGAGATACAGCGCAGGGAAAGACAAGAGAGACATCAGAAAATAAATGTAGAGAGATACTCGGGTAGAAACGGTGCAGAGAGACAAATGGGGAATGGGGGATAGGGTGTGGGAGGGAAACTGTCTGGAAAAATGAACGGTCACGACACATTACTATGCATGTTCGATCAGCTACTGCCACGCTATTCGGCTTCCGAGTACTCTCTTATTACGTTCAAGTGCATCGGCATCCGGCATCAGTAAAAGCACGGAGAGACTTATGTTCCTTCTTCCCTCTAAGCCCAAACGTCTTACTAAAAAAAAATCGCAACACCGCATATTTTGCTCGTCAGCCGCTACGCTGTAATGTAGGTATTCGCTCATCATTCAGCTATTTCTCCTCGCATGTCGGCCGGGTCACAGCGCCATTAAATCGGGCATTAGCCGCCACCTTCTCCGCCCAAACAAGCCGGCGGCAACTCCGCCTACCACACCGGCCTCAGTGACCCCAGGGTCAGAGGTCGGCGGCCGGTGACCTGACTGACGCCCCGCTCCGCCCCACCCCCGTTCAGCCCCGACAGTGCACCTGTGATATGAAAACTCACCCGACGCCCTATAGAGTTGTGTGTTATATACGGTCACGAACTATCAGCGTACAGTGCTTGAAAAGGGTTATTTAAGCAGGTATCTCAGGCCACTCAACGGTGGACAGGCAGTGCTGATATGAATTATTGGTGGGGCCAGGTGGGCGAAGGCCAGAAAGAGTATACATACTGTATAAAGTCACGTGGTGCATGCAGGTCACCAGGACTACTCGAGGCCTTCAGTGCCGGTAATAGAAAAGTGGTCAGTGTTCGAGATAGTGTGCGTACGTAGGTAACGTCATACCTTATTGGAAAGCGCGCATGAGACATTAAAACCAGGTAAATACCAGTATAACGCCTTTTGGGGCGACTAACGGAGCGAGCGAGAGGGTGGGCCTTGCACGTGCGAAATTTCGAGGGGGTACCTCCAACTGCCTTGTGCACGGCACCCTACTAACCGGTCTCTAGCGATGTGCCAAATTTGAGCACAATCGGCCCAGCCGTTCTCGAGATCTGGAAGCGGCACCCTGCACGTGCGCACGTGCAGAAAGGGTCCCAACTGACTTGTGCACGGCACCCTACTAACTGGTCCCTAACCGTGTACCAAATTTGAGCGCCATCGGTCCAGCCGTTCTTGAGATCTGGAAACGACCCCTGCACGTGCGCACGTGCAGCAGCACCCCAACTCTGGCACATGGATATGCAGTGCCTAGTGGGTGCCTACCTACATGCCAACTTTCAGCGCAATCGGCCAAGTAGTTACCGAGATATTGCAACAATTACAAAACTGACACCTCTTCGTTTTGCACGTGGCACGTGCATAAGGGGTCGCCCACATGCATCGGGAATAGTCCCATACTTGGTAGAAGGAATGAAGCTACCCTACAAAAATTACCGCGTGTAAATCGGTCAAGTGGTTGCTGAGATATAAGCCTCGCAAAAGCGTCCGCACGGCCGGCCGGCCGGCCGGCCGCTCATACTCAGAAATTTCCGTTAATCTAAGGAAAGACTACGCTCGCTTCGCTCGCTCCGTAATCAATGCTTAATATGTCAGGGTTGTTTAACATAGCAAAAGTGAAAAGCTTGAAATTCGATTCTACCATTGGACTGGATACTGGATAGAGCGAATTAAATTTTCGTTCGGGGGAGCTCTGTAAATACAGTGAGCGGAGTGGCTCAGCCCTCTCCAATCAGTCTATCTGTGGGTAGGATCAGGTAGGACCGCCGCCGGCCAGGGCGTGCGTTTATGTGTTGTAGTTTGTACCGAGGCGGACACGCCTGCTACCTGATTACCATTTACTGCACCCACCGTCCGACAGACCTGCCTACCGATCTGAGGCGCATCAGATACCGCCCCAGATAGCCCCGGCTGGTCAGTGCATGATGTGATTGAATTAGCAGTACAGAGATTGGAGCTGATGATATCGTCCATAAAATAATTAGTGTTATACGAATGCAGGCCTTGTATTGCTATATCGCATAGGATTACACCCAAAGTCGAGGATGAGTTCAAATACAAATAGGTAAAACAGCTGGGCAATGAGAAAATAGGTAAGATGATAAAAAGCCAAACCCTCCACGAGCGCGCTTCGACGTCTTACCCCAGGTGGTTGAAGCCCCTGATGTAGGTTTTCAGTCCCTCTCGCAGAATTTCCATGTTGATTTTGTCGGTGAAGCTCTGTGATATGGCCTCGGTGACCTCCAGCTGTTCGAGCAGCTCCTGGCAGCGGTTCCAGCGGTACTCGTTTGACTCCATCGAGTACGAGCTGAGGTTCATGTCGTACTTGTGGATACCCAGCTGTGAGCACAAGCAGGGAGGTCGGGAGTCAGAACATGAGACGAGCTGTGGTCAGTGTCGGATTAGAGTAACGAGCTGTAGGCGCATTCAGGAGGGGAGTGGAGGTCATGGGTCGATGACTGTTGCGCCGCTAATATCCGCGGCTGAGTTCGTTCCAGCTTCCGGGTCCGCGATCTCGGTCCGCGATCTCACACAGCGTTCTGAATAACGTAGTCCTGTATTGCTGATCGGTATCCGGCGGGGGCCGCTGCCCGACTGCTGCACGGCCGCACCGTGCCCACGAGCGCAGCGAGCTCAGCGCCACCTAGTCTACTGCACAAAGTTCAGAGGGCAAAGGGCTACGTCACCACACACTACCCCCCTCAACAGGAATGACAGTCGTGGCGAAGCAGACAACACAAAAACTGGCCGAAATAAGACTAAACATCCGTCTAAAACTATTTCAAAGCAAAGCCAGTCGCTTCGAACACGACTTTGTGTCGCCGTCACATTTCGGCTATGAGGCGACGCGGCTGCTTCCGCTGCCTGACGGAAACACGCTGAGCGATGCCCCCAGTTGCTGATCCAGCTCCTGTTCCTGTCGCCGATGAGGTCACACCGCCACCTCTGCTGACCTGCGCCTCCTCGGCACCAGCGTCGCCGCCTGCAGCTACCTGCGCTTCCTCGGAGCTGCCACCGGTAGCGGTAGCAGGTGCTGTCACAGCATCATTGCCCGTCGCCTCTGGTCCGTCTGTGGCCGGTGACCTGACCGTCGTTTCCGACCCGCCGGTCACACCTGTCCCGACGATGACCCCCGGTCTGATGGTCACCGGTGGTTCGCCAATCCCTGTGGGTGCCACCGGAACCTGTCCAGTACGGTTCGGTGCTGCCACCGTCGGCTGCCGGCTGATTTCCTCCGCGCCATCGGACGCTGCAGCAGCCTGTTGGGTGCCCGCCAGACGCAGCTGGTCGGCGTGCCGCGACCAGATCGCGCTCCCCACGTCCACTTCGAACGACAGCGGGCCCGTCCGGGCGGTGATGACGCCCCGCCGCCACTTGGACGGTCCACCGTAGGCCCGTGTCCAGACGTGGTCTCCGATCGAGAACTGCCTGTTGTGACCTGGCCTACCGGCCTGCCACTGGCGAAGTTTTTCCTCGCGCTGCCGCACATGCACATCCGGCTTTAGGAGGTCCAGGTTGGTTCGCACGTTCCGTCCCAACATCATTTCCGCTGGAGACTTCCCCGTGGTCGCGTGTGGCGCCACCCGGTATGCCAGCAAGAACCGCTGGAGGCGCTGAGAAAGCGTTCCTCCGTCCTTGAGTGCAGCTTTCAAGCCATTCTTTACGGTTTGAACCGCGCGCTCCGCCGCCCCGTTGCTACTTGGATGCCACGGCGCTGTCCTGATGTGCCGAATCCCATTCGAGTTCAGGAACTGGGAGAACGCAGTGGCGGTCAGCTGGGGTCCATTGTCGCTGACCACCTGGACCGGCAATCCAAACCTGGCGAACATTTCGCGCAGAACACGCACAGTGCTTTCCGTGCTGGTCTCACGCATAGGCACTGCCTCCACCCAGCGCGAGTAGCTGTCATACACTATCAGAAAGAAAGAGCCCTGGAAGGGTCCAGCGAAGTCGATGTGAACCCTGAACCAGCAGCTGTCCGTCGGTTCCCAAGGGTGAAGTTCAGCACGCGGTGGTGCCCCGCGCTTTTCCATGCAAGCCGCGCAGTCACGCGCCAGGGCCTCCAGCTCGGCGTCCATGCCCGGCCACCATACGTATCGGCGCGCCACACCTTTCATTTTGGCGCTGCCCAGGTGACCTTGGTGCAGCTCTGCCAGCACCTGTTGCCGAAGGCAGTGGGGAACCACCGTCCTGCCACCCCAGAGCAGACATCCCAGGTCCGTGGAGAGCTCATCCCGCCTCTGACGGAACGGGGCCAGCTCCTGCTCCACCTGTCCGGGCCACCCACTGTGCACGTACGTCAGGACGCGCGACAGTACCCGATCGCGGCGTGTCGCCGCCGCGAGTTGTTTGGCCGTCAGAACCGGAGCTACTCCGTCCATGAACAGCAGATACGAGCCGCCGCTGGTGTCGTCCTCAGCGTCCGCTGGCTCGACCTCTCCGCCTGGCACTGCCATACGAGACAGACTGTCCGCCAGGTGCATGTCTTCTGATGGACGTAGCTCCACATCGTAGGTGAAAGCCGCGAGCTGCAGCGCATACCGCTGGAGCCTGGCCGCAGCCAGCGTTGGCAGCTCACGCTCCGGACTTAAGATGCGCGAGAGCGCCCTGTTGTCCGTAACCAGGGTCCACCTCCGGCCGTAGAGAAACTGACCGAAACGCTTGACGGCGAAAGACACCGCCAGCGCCTCCTTCTCTACCATCGGATACTTCCTTTCCGTTTTTGTGAGTGTCCGAGAGGCGTACATCACCGGACGCTCCAGTCCTTCCTCGTCAGGCTGCAGAAGCACGGCTCCCACGCCGACTTCACTGCTATCTGTGACGAGCTTGAGCGGCGCCTCTGCATCGTACCGCTTTAGGACTGTGTCCCCTGCCAGCAGTTTCCGCACTCTGACCAGTGCGTTTTTGTGCACATTAGTCCATTTCCACGTGGCGCCCTTCTGTAAGAGCTCGTACAGCGGCGCTAGTTCCGTGGAGAGGTTGGGAAGCACCCGCTGGTAGTAGTTGATGCTCCCCAAGATGCTGCGCAGACTTTTCACATCCTTAGGGTCCGGCATGTCGATCACTGCGTCAACTTTCTCCTGTACTGGACGCAGCCCCTGTGCTGAGATGCGCCAGCCGAGGTACTGCACCTCGTCGAGTCCAAGTTGACACTTCTCCCGTTTCAGCTTCACTCCATGAGCTTCCAGCCGAGTTAGCACTTCATCCAAGCGCTCGCACAGGTCCGTCATGTTCGCCGCCGTCACCAGCAGATCGTCTTGATAGGCCACACACCCGTCTATGCCATCCAGGATGTGATCGATTGCGGCCTGAAACACCGAACTGCACGCCGATATGCCGAACGGTAGGGATTTCATCCGATACCGTCCTCGGTGCGTGACGACTGTTGTCATATCCCGCGATTCCTCCGCGAGCTCCAGCTGCAGGAAGGCGTCTTTTAGGTCCAGTTTGCAGAACCGCCGTCCTCGGACGCTCGCAAAGATGTCCTCGGCGGATGGCGTAGGATGCGTCGCCATTTGCAGCTGCGGGTTTACCGTCAGTCGATAATCACCGCACAGACGCACACCGCCATCAGCCCGTGGCACCGTCACCAGTGGTGTTCCCCAGCCGGGCGCGTCGTTTGGACCGACTTTTTCCGCGATCCCGGCCTGCACCCAGCGGTCGAGCTCCTGCTCGACGGCCGGTTTCAGTGCATATGGAGGCGGGCGCACCGGCCGTGACACCGGCCGTGCATCCGGTTTCAGTGTCAGGTGCGCCTTTACTCCACTGATGCGCCCCGGTGTGCCGTCAAACACCGACTTGTGCCTGTTACAGACCGCCTCCAGGTCCGCCGTCCCTCGGTCCGGCGTGACGTCCATCACCGCCGTCTCTCCGCCGCCCACACTTATGTCCAGAGCCCGCAGCCAGTCGCGGCCTAGCAGACGGCGATCGCCAGGCAGGTCCACCACGACCAGTCGCAGTCGATGGTCCCGACCGCGAAACCTTACAGAGACGTCTGCCTCACCCCGGAGAGGGATCCGGTGACCAGTGAATGACGACAGCTGCAGCTGAGTAGGTTTCAGTCGCAGCCGCGGGATGACCGTGTCCCGCCCCACAGCAGTGATAGGGCTGCCGGTGTCCACCACCATTTTGATGGCCACCCCGTTCACCGGTAAAGTCATTTTAACCGCCTCCGTTAGGTTAACAGCGTTTATCTGCCCCAGCCCCCACATGTCCGCCGTGGCAGTCCGCTGTCGGCATTGACTGCGCAGATGTCCGATCTGCTTGCAGCGGTAGCACCGCCGCGTCTCCGGTGCCGGTCTGACCCCGTCGGATCCACGAGTGTCAGATTCCCGGCGCCCCGGCCCCGTCGGCCGCCGTGACGCTGGTGCCGCACGCGCTGACTCATCCGGGCGTCGGCTCTCCTGACAGTCCCGCTGAAAATGTCCCGCCGCACCGCAGCGGTAGCAGCGGACCGTGCGCCGCTGGCGGCTCCGGTTACCGTCAGCCGTGCGCTGTGGCCGGACAGCGTTCAGCTGATCCGGCCCCGAGGTCACCACATCGACCTCTGGCCGCTCGTCCAATGCGGTGGTTGACCGTCCGACGCCGTCCGTGCTCAGAGACGCGTTACGGAACTGCGTCACTAGCATTTGCGTTTGCTCGTATGCACGAGCCGTAGCCTGCAGATCTTGCAGTGAAAAGTTGTCTCCTTTGGTTCCGACCGTCTGCAACAGTCGCTCCTGAATTTGCGGAGTTGCGCCGGCCACGCTCCTGTCCCGGAGCTCACGGTCGAGGTCAGCCGCCGGGAACCCGCACCGCCCAGCCACCGCCCGCAAACGAGCCAGGTACGCGTCGAATGACTCGCCGGCGTACATGCTCGTGCGGTGGAACGTTACACGTTCCGCCATAAGGTTAGACGTCGGCTGCAGATATTGGCGTAGTTTAGCCACAGCGGTGTCGTATTGTGACGTTGCAGCCGTTGCAGCCGGCTCCGGCAGGGTGTCGAACACGTCCTGGATGTCCGGCCCCATTAGATGGAGCAGGACTGCAGTCCGCCGCCGGTCGTCTGTTATGTCCATCGCCTCGGCGTAGAATTCCAGACCCTTCAGCCACCGGCTAAAGTCCATCCCCTTTGCAAAAGGAGCCACGCTCGGCAGTCCGGCCGCCATGTTTGCCACCGCCCCGAGGCTGCACCGGGGTCAGGCACTGCACACTGCACTGACCGCGCTGACTCACCAGTCACGCCACACCGAGCAGAGTCCAAAGTTCAGAGTCCAGCGGCCGCCGTCGCCGCCCGCACCACTGTTCACCCAACACGGAGGTGCAATACAAATGTTCCCAACAACAATACAGCGAAACAC